AGGGAAGAACAGGGGAGGGGGCTTGCAGCTGGCGGCTGGGTTCCCCCAGCTGGCCGGTCACTGGCAGCTGCGCGGGGCTTCCTCTGCCTCCTTACAAAGCGGCAGAGGTTTGCCGCTCGGCGCGCAGTTCCCCGGTGACCCCCTCTGACCAGATGCCTTGCGTCCGACCAGAGGGGGTCACCAGGGAACGGCGCCGCGAGTGGCAAACCTCTGCCGCTTTGCAGAGAGGCAGGGGAAGCCTCACGCAGCTAGCAGCCACAGGCCGGCCCAAGGGGAAATTATGTTATTGCGGGGACGGGGTCGTGTTGTTTGAAAAATGTTCCCTAAAAAAAAAAATCGTGCTATCATGAAAACGTGTTAAGGTAGGAATTACTGGACAGAGTGCCACAAAAAACAGGAGTGTGTGCGTGCGCGTATGTGTGTGTTTTACAAAAGATGACACTTGCAGGTACCCAGGCTGTGTTTTGATTGTTGACCTCCCTCTGTTCACCCTACTGTGTGTGTGATGAAGTTGGAGGAGGCTACAGGCTGCACTAAAACGAATCGGCCACCGCCCCTACTGCTCAGTCCGATGCTCCCGCTCATGGATAGCACTTATGTTCCTGAGATGGTGAGTTCATGTCGATGGAGCTGCTGCCACAGGCGTGTAAAAACATGGCCCTTCCCTGCGTGGCCCTTTGTGATTAGGGATGGCGCTGCTGGTGACCCCCGCTTTCGTTTCCACAAATGGGGCACCAGACTGTTCCCTGCCAAGGATGTGGGTCAAAGGAAGCCAAAACTAAATGGAATCAAACCAAGTATGTCTCCTTTAATGCAGCCTCATGGAAGGAGCAGTTGTAATTCACACAACGCCCCCTTGAACTCTGGTTTGGGGGTCTCCTCAACTCACAGACCTCAAAATCTCTACCTAAGCAGGCCACTATTCTAGACAGCAAGGGAGAGCTCTGACCACCCCTTGCAAACTGAATAGCCTCTCTGCTCTGCTTCCTGTTCCTGTTGAAACAGGACAGCCATAAGGCGGAGCAGGTAGCCTTCTTGATTAGCCCTGGCTGTCTTGGTTGTGAGCACCCGGCTGTCCCTTAAAGGGGTAACACACTCCTTCACGATCTATCACTCTGACCTTCCTCAGGAACAAGAAACGTGACGCAGGGCTGAAAAGCAGGTGTCCCCAGCTGCTGGAGACACGTCCTTTGTGTAATAACATTTATAGAATGCTTCGGATGCAGTTTAATTAACAAGGGGCCGGGATAGCGAACCTGCTCTGTCAGGCTTCCATCGTGGCTTTTTTATAAAAAGAAGGGTGCTGCTCTCTTGGCGCTATTGCATGTCCCAAATTGATAGGTTAATCCAAGGGGTTTCAAACTTAGCGGCTTGCAAGTGGAAGCCACTAGCTGGCCGTGAGGTGCTTTGTTTACCTGAGCGCCCGCAGGCCCGGCCGCTTACTGCTCCCAGTGGCTGTAGTTCACCGTTCCTGGCCAATGGGAGCTGCAGGAAGTGGTGGCCCAGCCCACACTGCTTCCCGCAGCTCCCATTGGCCGTGAGATATCTTTCTGTACACGTTTTTAGGAGATCGGTAGCGCTGGGCACCCCCTTGTGGCCAAGGATGTCTCTGCAGTGGCCTACCTTGAGTAGCTCCTATAGCACTCCACTGAGCCTTTGTTGTGGTTTGCAGCACCTCTGTCTGGGGCTGGTTTGATATTCTCTACAAGGGGAGCCTTGATCACAAAATAATCCAACATGAAGTCCAAAATTATAAGATCTCCCTGAAGCCACCAATTCCCAGCCCCCTTTGCCCAGACCTTCCCCCACTGGCCGTTTATCCACCTGTCCCCCAAGTCCCTCCATCCCCCATCTCCCTCCCTCCCAACCATCTACACCCCTGAGGTTCCTATTGCTTTTTATACCATATCATCTGATTCCCCTCAAGTGAGTCTCCCCTTTTAATCCCGGCTGCCTTAGCCCCAGACTCTCCGGCACAAGCCACCGTGTTACATGAGATACATACATATATTCCAAATAAAACAGGCTGTGGAGACACCCGTATGGATGAGGCTGTAAGCAGTGCACACTTACTTCACAGCAGAAACTTGAAGCAATTATTTCCCTGATGTGAGCTATCTAGTTCCTTGCTCTTTCCTGGGGAAGGGTGGGACTCTCATCCCTACAGTCCTCCAGGCCAAGAATGAAAACTCAAACACACAGACATGATCAAAATATCTTCAAAGGAGCCCTCTGATTGACACCACAGCTGCTACAGAGGAGGCTTGGCCCGAAAACAAGAATTCTGTTCTGCGAAAAAATTCAGTTTCAATGTCCTACACTGGGACGAGCCCCTTTCTAACTTCATGGTGAAAAAAATAAGAGGGAGACACCAACCTCAGAGCAGCCAGTCTCTCGGTGATTGGGAGACTCACCCGAGAGGTGGAAGAGCCAAGTTCAAGTTTCTGTTTTGAATCCAACAGCGCAAGGAGTTGAAGCCAGTTTCCTCACCTCTCTTGTTCTCCCTCCAGAAAGTCCATTTGGGATCTGACAAATCTCCCCAGGGAAAGCGAGGCAAAAACTTTCTGTTTCCAGGAAGAGACGTTTTTGGATGGAAATGTGAGCCACTGACAATCCTCTGTCTGCTCGAAGTACATTCCCAATGACTGGATAGACAAGAACAGAACAAAGGAAACTAAAAGGAAAGGAAAATGCTTGTCTCTCTCACCAATGGAAGTGGGTCACATAAACGATATTATCTCACTCCCTCGTCTGTCTGGAAAAGATGAGGCACACTGGGAGTCAGATCCCTTGCTAAGACAAGGGCTGGTGACTCCATGCCTCCATTGTCAATGGATGCAACTTAGTTTTCCTCAGCCTCAGACCTGTTTGTGTCACTGCCATGGCCAGCTGGTCTGTGGCAGCCCGGGTTCCCCTTGGGGCCTGGCTGGGATCGTGACTTTGGCTACACCTCACTAGACATCATCAGAGTCCTCCGCGGGCTCCTGTCACTAGGTCTGCCTCAGTCTAGACATGCAGCCCATGCTGTGCCCGGCTCTTTCTGCCCTTTCCCCCCTGGGCTTGTTCAGAGAGTCCTTCCCTTGCTCCCGGAGGAGTGGACTCTGATACCCTTATGCAGGCTGAATGGGACCTTACTGCGGGAATAATCCAAGCCAGGGGGCAGAGGAGAAAGTAAGGAGCTAAGCTACCGCAAGACCTGGCTGAGCTGCGGCAAAAGCCCCAGGGAGCTATTGAAAGAGCTGGCAGGCACCTGGGTTGCAATAGGACAGTACTTGTACGACATTTAAGTTCCTTTCACTCCTACCAGGGGATTACTCGTGGAGTAAGGAGGGCCTGCAGACCTGAGCACACACAGTTTGCTTGGTCTACTGCAGCGGTTTCCAATGCTTTTTGTTCTTTGCAGACCCCTTCGGTAATTATGAACGGGGGCGCACACCCCTTTGGATCTGCAGCTTTCAGGGTAAGACTTTTGCGGACTCTTTAGACATAGTCGGCGGCCCCCCCAGTTTGAGCTGCACAGCTTGATTTGATTTCCTCCCTCTCTCCCCCTCCCTGCTTCCGAGTCCCTGTCAGTGGACCGGCCAGAGCAATTCCGTCTGGGAGGAAAAAGGCAAACCCCAGCCCTCTCTGCAGTGGGAAGAGATTCCCAAAGGAACTCTTGAGCGCTAGCCAATCCGGGTGGGCCGTCTCTAGTTGCTAAGGAAACCTTCCTTCCTCTAATGCCTAGCCTATGCGGCGACACCTTGCATTGTGCTGCGCGCTGCTTGCCCGCATGACCCGCTCCCAGAGGTACCGGCTGGATTCCCGTACGTATATCATTTGTGCAGGCCTTTGGGATGATGCATGTGAATGTTGTTACGGAGCGGGGACAATTTTGCCGCGAGCATCTTGCCTCCCTGCCAAGATGCCCGCAGTGCTGACTGTGAGTCCCTGCAATGCAACCGGCACTAGGCAGTTACCGGGAACAGATCTGTGATTTAGGAACGCTCCCCCTTCTCCCTGACCGCCACAACTCTCGCAGGCGGCTAGGAGGGACGATGGAGATGCAGAAAAAGGAAGCAGTTTCCTTAGCTATTTTTAGTGGCCAGGGACAAATCCAATCAAGGGGGAATGATTTGAAATTTGAAACCCCTGAGCAGAAAACGGCAGTGTCTTGGGGGAAACAGTGTATTCTGTGTTAGAAATTATTGGAGCAAATGAGACGAAGCGGGGTTAAAATGCAAGGAGAGCGGCCTGTCTTTTACTCCACAAGGGCCAGATCCCACTAACTTTATTCGCCTTGGCTAGGACCTCCTTGTGAGTGTAGCCTATTGATGTCGCCGGAGCTGGCTGCAGGGTAAGGCATCTTCTTAGCAGCATGCAGGTGGCAGAATCCGGCCCTAAACAATGGGGAGATTAAATGGCCTCCGGGCAGCTTTTTCATGACATTCCCCTTCTTTGCAGGGGGGAATGAAGCCATGAAGGCATGTGAAGCACCTCGGGGAAGATGAACCGTTCGCTGTTGATTATCCCTTTCCATGGCCCGGCGAGCAGCCCCTGCGGCGGAGGCAGCACAGCCCACGACAGTGCCCAAGCACAGCCCTGGTGCGGCGTCCGGCGTCCGGCTTGGTCTGTGCTGGGCCTTGCGAGCGCCGCATGCTGCAGCGTGCTAGTGTCTGGCTGGAAAGTGAGTCCAAAGCACGGCAAGCGGGTGGCCCGTGATGGGAACAGCTGGCGGTGCGTAGCAGCGATTTGACTGGCCGGGCAGCAGCGCCGAAGAGCACAATGCTGCAGCTGCTGCTATGGATGCAGCAGACTTCCTCTCGCTCTCTGCATCAGCGGCACGCTGAGACGCAATCCTGCCAGGCGGCATCCTCCAGCCCCGTCCTTCCTCTGCCGGCAGCACCACCCGTCAGCAGGCAGCAGCCGGGCATCCCCCTGCAGAATCCCGCTTCCGGCAACACACACACACGCCCGTCTCACAGCGTCCATCCCCAATAGAATCCAGGCCCTGCCTGCTGGGCCAGTGGCCAACATGAGCACCGATGCCACACGCCTGCCTACCGGCGCCCAGGCCGGCGGGGCTATGTGGACTCCATCCGGCTTGATGGCTTCCGACATGCCTCCCAACGCCAGCAGCTCCTTGGTGCCACCGGAGCAGCGGCCCCGGGCAGAGGAGTGGACTGGCAGTGCCGGAGCGGTGGTGGGCACAGTGGCCATCCAATGCATCTACGCCCTGGTGTGCCTGCTGGGGCTGCTGGGCAACTCGCTGGTGATCTTCGTCATCCTGCGCTACGCCAAGATGAAGACGGCCACCAACATCTACATCCTCAACCTGGCCATCGCTGACGAGCTCTTCATGCTGAGCATCCCCTTCGTGGCCACTTCCGCGGCCCTGCACCACTGGCCTTTTGGCCGGGTCTTGTGCCGCACCGTGCTGGGCGTGGACGGGCTCAACATGTTCACCAGTGTCTTCTGCCTGACCGTGCTCAGCCTGGACCGCTACATCGCCGTGGTGCACCCGCTGCGGGCCGCCACCTACCGCCGGCCCCGGGTGGCCAAGATGGTCAACGGAGGCGTCTGGCTGCTCTCGCTGCTGGTGGCCTCGCCAATCCCCATCTTCGCCGGCACGGCCACCACACACGACGGCCGAGCGGTGGCCTGCAACCTGCTGTGGCCTAGCCCGGCCTGGTCGGCCGCCTTTGTGGTCTACACCACCTTGCTGGGCTTCCTGCTGCCGGTGCTGGCCATGGGCCTCTGCTACCTGCTGATCGTGGGCAAGATGCGGGCGGTGGCGGAGCGGGTGGGCTGGCAGCAGCGGCGGCGCCCGGAGGGGAAGCTGACCCGGCTGGTGCTGATTGTGGTGGCCATGTTCGTGGTCTGCTGGATGCCCTTTTACGTGGTGCAGCTGGTGAACCTGCTGCTGCCCGGCCACCTGGACGCCACGGTGAACAACGCCTCCCTCATCCTCAGCTACTCCAACAGCTGCGCCAACCCCATCCTCTACGGCTTCCCCTC